ATATATATATATATATATATATATATATATATATTGATAAATTTTGTTATAGATTTACATCATTTTATAAAAATTAAGTCAAATAATTTTAAATTAACAGATTTAGACAGCCATTTATCTCTAAAGAGAGAATAAAATCGATTGTATAATATTGTTATCTTTTATGCTAGGTTCAAAACTAGGAATACTTATAAACGTCATTTAAAAACACGGCACAATAAAATCCTTACTACATTTGGTGAAGTTTTACATCCTCCAGAAGAAGACTTTCATAAAGTTCGAAATAATCGGAAAAAAAAAGATTGCGCTCCAGAAACTATAGATATTGATAATATCGCGTCCAATACAATCGTAAACTTTGAAACCAATGATGAAACGCAAGTTATTACAAATACAATAGAAGAATACGTTTTGAAAGAAAATATAGACGATAATAGAAATTGGGAACTAAATGATGTGATACACATTGATAAATTCGAAAATTTTGAGGTTTGCTCGGAATCTCAATTGAATAAGACTGATGGTATAGAGACTGAAATAGCTATAGATTGTAATATGGAGAACAGTAATGTCAATATGGAATGTGTTAACAATATAAAGGATGGCCTATTACAATTAAAAAATTCTTTTTACGATAATATAGAAGTAACTAATGATGAAGAAAATCATGTTATCTATCAGCATAGTATCGAAGATCAGGATAAAATTTATAATTGTAGTAATGAGATAAGATACGAATATTCTGAAATAAATTCTAAAAATGAAACATTAAAAGAAGAAGAAAACAAAGGTGAAACAAAGCACAAAATAAATACAGAATTTCTAGAAGAACAAGATGGGAATAATTTACAAGAAGAATCTACACATGATTATCATAAAATATGCACTAGTGATACACAAGACAAAAATACAACATACACGCATTTAAAAACAGCACCAACAGAAACTACAAGTTCCAACGAAAATAATCAAAAATATGATGATATACATATTATTATTACACAAAATAATCATATCACAAATGAAAAATCTATTGTTAATAGTTTTGGTACTGAAAATAAAAAACATCCAGAAAATATCTTCTGTGCACAAGTTATATATGCGAATATTAATATTCCACAAACGTTCAATGAAATTCATGAAAAGATTATTTCACAAAATCAAAACAATATATTGCAAGAAAGCGAATATGTAAGTCAATCTATCGCGACTAATTTGGAAGATATTTTGAATGTTTCTTCGAAGAACTCTTTCGAAATCAATCAACAAAATTATCAGTATTTATATATTTGTAATGAACAATTAAGTAAATTAATCGCTCAGAATAAATACATAGCTATACCATTGCATCAAATCAAGTTGTGTCGTGATTATCGATTGCAAGCAAAAGTGGACAATTACAGATCGATGTATATCATAAATGAGGATATAAGAACAATCATAAAGCAATCCGAGAAACAAAATGCGATTTTAGTTTTATCCAATGATAGTTTCAAAAATAGTATTTTTCAAGTTGACAAAAATAGTATTATTGTCACAGCTCTAGATAGATAGAAAGAGACAGATTGGTGTACAAAATAATATTAATATTTGTATAATAAAATACTTAAAGTTTAATGTTGGTCAAGTTCGAAATATATTTTGTACTAATATGCTAATAGACGCAATCGATGGATTGAGGTACACACAATAATCGTTGTAATATATAATCTTAGAAAAAAAATAACAATATAATGCTACATTTTCTTGCTTATATAAATATGTAATAAGCAAAACCAGATACATATAATCATTTTTTTTAATTTTTATTACAAGATATAATTGCGTTAAGGAAAAAAAGGTAACGGACTAATAGAAGCATCCTTGATAGATTATGCATTATTATAAATAATGAAAACTGATAATACTAGCATTTGTTTTAGAGTATAAGAGATTATTTTTATAAATTTTAAAATGTTACGATGATTATAACATTGCACTGATTACTACAATGATTATATGCATTTATTAAGCTTGCAAATCTAATACTATATAAATTAATATTCAAATTTCAATTTTGTAATCTTATCGATCTTACTGATGATATATACGAAAAGTAAATTATTTAGACAGTTAATTTGCAATTTTATGTTTATTTGCAATTTTATCATTTTTAGTAGCTATGATTCTATTAATTTATATTTATTAACAATTATAAAAAATCTTGAAAATATGACAGAGTGCCAAATGTAAAAAAAAATGTTTTACATATAGCTACATAATCTTAATATAATTTCATATAAAATTTTCAATATTGTAAGTTTATGAAAGATCGTATGTATATGCTACTATATAATTTATTTTTATAACAATTCTATCAAAGCTTCTTATAATGTTTATTACTCTGCTATCTTGGATTATTATTTTAGAAAATATTTTTTATATACAGATTGCATAAAATAGTGACACAATAGTGTTTAATAAGCAATTATATTTTATACTATTAAATGAACAAATTATAGATATTTATAAATTACTGTATGATAATACGATTTAAGAATGAAGTTTAATTATTTGTATATTAAGCAGATTTTTCTATATATTGTAATATAATATAGCGTATTTTGAATCTCGTAACTTCCCGTATTTTTTTTCATTAACAATTATCTTAACTAATATATTTTTTATCAAAAAGTATCTATCACACTAATTGAATTACAAATATTCAAATGTATATATATAAATGTTATTAACACGAATAAATTATATGTATGAATTATATTTTCCATATAATTTATAAATTTAAATATTTTTTTAAATATGTTTTTAAATAATATATAGCATAAATTTTATTTATATTAAATTTATATGTGGGAAGTTTCGAGATTTAGCTAAATGCATTTATACCAATTAGAAATATATTTGATTTAAGTGTATACTTTCAGCTATTTTTTTAAATAAAAGAAAAGTTTTTGAATAAAAATTATTTTATTTGAAGAGATTTATATAATAATTTAAACAAAAATTTATAATTATCTTTGTTTAATTTTTAATTTTTCTAAATAAAATAATTTTTATGTAAAAACTTTTTGTAACTTTATTATTTAAAGAATAACTGAGTGTACGTATTATATATTCAACCAGTTCTTTTTTTCATGATTTAAGATTGATTAAACAACTCTGATTGAATACATATTTCACCACACTGCTTAAACAATGATCAGTGTGTAACTCTAATAAAAATATTTTATATAATAGCAATTTTGATTTTGCCAATGAAAGAGTAGTCTTCTGTCAGCAATAATGTTTAAATTGTGAGTATGATCATATCATCAAATTCAAGTCTGAATCTGTTTAAACAGATGAATTCCTTGATTTTATTCTTATTATTAATCACTCTAGTAAAGATATATTTGTCATTAATTAGTTGTTCACTGTTTCATTTAATTGTTAAATTTAATTTTCATTTATTCAGGTACTGTACAGATAATGCGATATCAAAATGTGTGCGAGAGCAAAAAAGTTTTGACATTAGCTGAACAAGGAGTAAGAAATCTAATAGTGATCATCCTCGATGGTCATTATTAGAGTTAATAATATAAAAAGATTCCTTATTATGAAGAATCATTAATAAAGTATTATAGAGGAGAATAAAACTCTGGGCAATTCACGAATAAAAAAAGAATTACTGTGTCATAATTGATATATTATATTATTTGTGAAACAATTTCAATTATTGAAAAGAATAATGCAGCTGTTCTAGGAATAATAATAGCGTTTCAAGTATAGAATTTTAATAGTGTTTTTTCATATCGAATTTTTTTTTAATAATGTTATACATTCTTTTTTAGCAGTGGTCTCTTTTCTAATATTTTATTGAAAGTAGCTTCTTTTGTTATGAACATAAAACAAAAAATTGAATATCATTTTTGAAATTCATATTGGAATTAAAAAAGAAATTTATATTTTAAATAATGATTAATATTATGATGGTTTAACAATTTACAGGAATCTCTTGATTCCTTATCTCGCAGTTTTTAGCTTTTGCTCTTTTGTGATGATTGAGCATCTGAAAAATTTAGAACTCTAGAATTAAATATCTTGTAACAAATAATAGACATACGGAAACTTAATAGATATCTCAATATAAAAAAATCTCAACTATCGATCTTGTTTTACCATAAACAAAAAGTAGCTCTATTATTAAGCAGATAACTCAGATATATAAGCCTTGTCAATTGTTAAAATCTAAATTCTTTTCTTCAGCTGTAGTTGATCAATTCATTATCCATTATTATAAACTTTATTAATGATTTTCACTGGTCCTATAAAATATTTTTTATTCTTCCAAATCAACGTATGGTTCACTTTTAATTATATTAAATATTTAATTTCTGTCATAGTAAATTTTTTGTTCTAAGAAAAGGACTGGAGATTTTGTTAATGTAAGAGAAAATTGTGTACCTTTCATAAATGTATACACACATACAAAATAAGTTTAAGATTCTTCGAATCTTGTATGTTAAGTCCGCTGAACAGATTTGTGAAAAATCTGATGCTTCTAAAAAATTTGTTTTTTGCATATTTAAATCTTATATCTAAATAGTAGTTGTTCAAGATAAAAATGCAATGAAACCTTCTTTTTCAGATTTACTTTTTTAATTTTGTTCTTTCAAAATGAGAAATACTACAGAATGTTACACAACGTGATATTCATGCATATACATATAATTTTGCTGTCAATTAACGATAAAATTCTCGAAGATAAAAATTATTAGACTCTGATTTATCTACTCTGATTGAAGTAAATTTAAATTCAAAATTTTCTTGATATATAAATGGTACTCATTTGCAATATTTTATGTATAAGATATAATAAAACAAGAGTATCAATATATAATTAATGTATACATGCGATATAATGATAATGAAATAGTAAATAGTTATTCTTTGTGTAAAAAAAGAAAAATCGATATTATAGAATAAATTTATTTTATAGAAAGCTACAATTTCGAAAAAATTAATTTTAAAAATCTGTTGTAGTTTACATTTAACAATTACATTATATATTAACATTGTATATTACATGTCGTCACTTTGTACATCATTTTCATAATTTCTTACAATTTCAGTCATATTTTTGCAAATCTTTAATAAAATATCAATAACACAAATAATTTAAACATTTGTACATAAAAAAATAAGTAGATTTTTTTACGTAAGATAATTTAATAAGTAGAATTACAGTTAGATATAAGATATAAGATATAAAATAATAAATCTATATAAAGATCAATCTTTTATATAGATTATACTTGAAAATTATTATAGAATGAAATTATTATTATAGAATAAAAAGTGCCTTTTTGTGAAATGAAATGGAAATAAAGTATCAGATTTTTATAACTACGCTAAGTACTAGATATTCATATTGTATCGTACTAGAGAATAAAAAAAGAAATCTGTCCATAAGCTTCTATAAAATTATTTACGTTAATTATAATTAGTTTAGATTACGAAGATATAATAATGTAGAAATATAGACAGGGAAAACAAATGTAAATTATTTAAAAACACTCATTTTCGCAGAAATTTTGCACCTCGATCATAACGACTGACTTTGCCTATGTATAAACATTTAATAACAACGCTTCGAAATCATGAACTAAATTTATATTGCAAATTGTTGATTGTAAGAAATAATTTAGCTTTGCTTTCATAATGTATTTTTCTACGTATTTTTTGTACTTACAAAAATAAATTTTTAAAGACATTTTGTAGATCATTTCAATTACCTATTATTAATTTATGAATTTATTTATTTAAACCAAAGAAAGTTAGTACGTGAAGAGCACATTAAGGATCTTATGGATTCAAATTCCTTCTATAAAATTAATTTATGAAATTAAGTTTCAAATAATCATGTGTCTTTCTATTTTAAATCGTTATAATTTGGATCTTAAACAAAATTTTTAAAATGCAATTTAAATTGCAAAATATTTAAGCATAAAAATTATTTTTTTTAAATTTAGTCTATAGACTAAGTAAAATGTCAAGAAAATAGATATAAAGGTTGAATAGAAGTAAAAAAAATAAGTGTTTTTATTAACAAATATTTAACTAAAAAAATGACCGTTTATCTTTTTAAATAGAAAATTATTATTTGAGTATTTTATAACAAAAATTATAAATTTAAGAGAGTCAAAAAATGTGAGAGAGTAAAATGAGAAAATCGTGAAAAATTTCTTCGTGCATTTTAATATAAAGATTTTGAGATTAAAAATTTGCATCACCTCGTAAAAAAAGATAGAAGAGAGTAAAACTGTAAAAAACTTTTCGTTTTTTCATATATTTTATTATCATAAAGGTTTTTAAAATAAAAGTTTATATTATCATTTTTACTCTTATAGAAGTCGAAAGTGATGAAAAGAAGAAAAAACAAAATTAATTATTATTAGTTAAATATTTAATAAAAAGGTAAATAAAAAAGATAAGGGCACTGATTTTTTATCTGCATTTTCAACCTTTGTCTCCTTTTATTTCATTGTTTACTTTTAACGTTTATTATACTATTATATAATAGTTATTGATTCGAATTTTTTTAGAAAAAATTATTCAAAAAATTATCTGCTACGTGAGAAAGAGTGTAATTTGATTAGGCAAAAATTATTTTGAAGCGACGAAATTCGTTTCGGTTTTTCGTTTTACTTAATAAAATGATAAAAATTTCGCAAGTTAATCTACTTTATTGAATCGAGTCGAAATAAACCAAATATAACATAAATGATAAACCAAATATGTAACATCATTTGAAATTCATCACTGCGAATGCCAAACATTCGCGACCGGTTCGCATTCGCCGGCCAGCGGCAATTACCGGGCGCGGTATGTCGTCCTGTTGCTTTTGTTCTGAGAACGGTCAGGGAACAAGGTCACAAGACTGGTAAAATGGAAACCGCTGAGTGGACCGCGGATCAAGATCTCAGTAAGCAAACTATCCATAATACATGACATATTGGTAACAAATTTAATTAGAAATTGTCGGCAACAACTTAGCATCAACTGTGTGTGCATTAAGTTATGAGTGTATTTTGTTAGCAAGGCATATATTGCCAATCTCTGTCAAATCGTATAGCAAGTATGTCAATGGCTGTTTGATTTTTTTGCCATCAATCTGCCATCAATCATATTTTGTCATTACCTGGTAAAAAGTTTTCCATATATAATTATATGGTGTGTGTATATATAATTACATATATAATTACAGGGCGTCCCCGGATTTTCCGTACAAACTTAAAACAATATCATATAATCCGAAAAATGTCCTAAGATGTTTTATTAAAAGTAAAAGTTACAACAAAAATAAGAAGTCTGTGTCGTCATTAACTCTTGATTTAAATTTCTGCGATAATAAATTCAAATACATCGATGTTAAACTTATATGTTAAGCTTGTTGACATGGACTGACATGGCATTTTGAAATGCAAACTTGTTGGATAAAAAATTGTTTTTTGCAGATTTCATATTTTTACCGTAACTTTTTAATAAAACATTTTAAAACTTATGTTTATAGTAATAAAAATTTGGCATTTTTTTCTTATTTCAGCTACGGAAAATCTGAGAAAACACCCTGCATATGTAGAATATATTCATATATAAAAATATGTAATTATATATTTTTTTTCATATACACATATTTTATATATTACGCGTCTCCTATATAATATAGCAAAATTTATATTAATAATGCCCGGTAAAAAATTTTTTGTATACTTCTTTTTATATAATTATATATAAAAAATTTTTTATATTTATTTATTCTTGTCAGGGTACACACCAAATGTATCGAACCCGCGTTTCTTTCTACTGACAAAATTTGCAGAAGAATCGATAGATTTTCGATAGACTCTCTTTGCCGTCTGATAATCAGATAATAAGGCACACGATGTATCGCACACGATTCCAAGGATCGCGCCGGGCCCGGCACGAGTTTCCTTGACGTATTTACTGTTACAGGACGTGGCGCGGACGCTGTGTTTGTCGTGCTCGGCGCGTTTCTTCGCCGTTCAGTGTCGTGAACGGTAAGGACTCGGTTACAGGTGTAACCGTCGCGCCGGTGTGATCTCTCTCGTCGCTCTCCTATCTGGATCCACTGAATTGTGATCTACGGCGAAAGAGAAGTTGGCGATGGTCTCCTGAAGAAAAAAGAAAAAAAAAAAAAGAAACGAACTTGGAAAGCGAGCCGTGGCGTTCGCCGTGTCGAGCCGAATTCTCGCTTTTGCGAAAATGGAACAGGAAAGGAGACAGCGTTCGCGAGACCCGGGCGAAATCGCGTTTGCGTAACGCGAGAGGCTGCCTCCGCTCTGCGTGCGTCCTCCTGTTATATAAATTTCATAAATTATCAAAATCGTCGCAAATTAGCGTCGTAGCGATAAAACAGCCGAGCCACGCGAGGCATATGCGCGTCCCACCTTCGTCGTATCACCTTCGAGAGATATTGAATTGTCCGACTCCGTGAACGGCCCGAGCGGTCAGTACCAGAGAGAGGTACCGACGTGTGACACAGCTGATATATTCGAGTTCGAGTTTAAAACGGCGAGGCGAGGCTCTCCCGATCTCGGATCTGGCGAAATCGGAGCGGCGTCATCGGCGTTTCCACCGGCACGACGAAAACTCGCACGTCCCTTGCGGGGAACGGAGGACGTGGAGAACGATGCGCCGCGCGTTCCGCGTCCCGGAAAAAGAAAAGGCGAGAGACACGAGACGGCATTCCCATACGCCGGTGCGTGCGCGCGGGACACGCGCCATCGGCGTAAATATTGAACAAGTGACGTAATATTAGTTGTACGAGGCATGATAATAAGCGGGGACGTCGTTACCCGTCGCCGCGCCCCGCGATCAGATAAAGCGCACGAAATTGTTCCCCGTTTCGAGGTCGACGTACCGCTCGTGCGTCTACCGCGGAGGATCCTGATAAAAGATTCAGTTCGGATTCATCGTCGTTGCCGGCTTGCTGTCGCATTCCCCAATCCCCGCTGGGCGGAAACGCTCGAAATGGAGGTGAGTCTCTCCTCTCTCTCTCTCTCTCTCTCTCTCTCTCTCTCTCTCTCTCTCTCTCTCTCTCTCTCTCTCTCTCTCTCTCTCTCTCTCTC